CACCTCAATGGGTGGTGCAAACTCCTGATCAAACCTCCTCACAAACTCCTCCCAAGTCATCTCATCCGCCTCGACTAATCCCACCTCATGAGTCACCTCCTCCCACCAATCTCGTGCGCGATCCCTTAGCATAGAAGATGTGAACCCCACCTTGACCGCATCAGGGTAAGAACTCGTGTACTGGGCATTTTCCATGTCTGTCATCCACGGATTACTAGCGGACTTTGGTCCAATGGTCAAGCAAGCAACCACTCTGAAAGCCGTCATCTGGGCTGCTAAGAATGTGGAGACCCATATAAGAGAGAAGAGTCTGGAGAGAGCTGAAGTTGGCGAGAAAAGGAAGCATGAAGGATCTTCAATGTTTAACAAGGAGATAAAATTCCCGAAGTCTGGAGGAGGAGGAGGTGAAGCAAGATGGTGTGAGAAGTGCAAGAAGAAGCACTTCAGAAGATGCGTTGGAGAAGTGATGTGCTATAAGTGTGATGGGACCGGTCACTATTGCAGAGAATGTACACTCGACAACAAGAAATGCTACGAATGTGGAAATGATGGGCATATTTCGAAGAACTGTCCAAAGAAGAACGAAGATGCAAGGCAAAATGCGTCGCTAAAGCCAAAAGCAAGAGCATTCCAGATGATCCTTAATGAAGTAGATGGCAATGCAAGGAATCAGAAGTGAGGATGGATATCACAGGATCAAGTTATAAAGAAGCCATGCAGATAGTATCAGGAGGTGTAGCCTATTAGAGGCATAGTATCGGTTGAACTTGAACACCTATGTAATCCTTTCAATGAATAATATAAAACCTTCGTTCTGTTATCTGATGTGTCAGTTTGTTGTGTGATTTTTTTTATGGTTAATTGGAAAATTGCGAGACAATACTTGGGATGAGTATGAGTAGGTGTGAAAGGTAGTAGATGCATATACTACCAGAAGCACAAGACTCACGCTTGGATCAGGGAAAGTCACAAGGTTACCAAGAAGCTAGTAATTGATTTCGTTTTATTCAAGTATGTTGTTACCATCGTTTCGGTAATGACTAAGAAGATGATTATTATTCTGACCCTAGTATCATATCTAATTGAGTCCGACTACGATAAGTATGTTTTGTGGTTCAGAGAACCAAGTTTGATGTAGCATCTGTGTAACGCCCTGTTTATTTAAATAAATTAATAAATGTAAGTCCTGGACTGATTTGCGAAGAATTTTAGATGTTGAGGGTTAAAAGTGTAAATTAAAGATTAGTTTTGTAAGTGTTTATGAAGGCAGGGACTAAATGGAAATTATTGGGACTTCATTGAAGAGATTTTAGAGGCCTAGGGGCTGTTTGGTAAATTTCGTACCTAAGTTGTAATGGATTCTAATATTCATGGTTTAAAGTGTAAGTTTTGGATTTCATTTGAAAGGATTTCATGGGGAGGGACCAGAAATGTAATTATAGGGAAATGGTTATTTTGGACGGGTATATATGCGTTACTAAACCCTAACCCTAACTGGTAGCACTAGCTGTCATCCCCACCTTATCACCCATCCTCCAGTCGCCATCACCGACCCTTCCCCCTTGTTTCTCCGATCAGTCGCTGACGAGTAGGACCAACGAAGCCAGCAGCCTTGCCCCACCTTTCTGACCGAGAGCTTTGTTGGAGACTAAGTCTTAGCAAACGTCCCTAGCCGCTGCAACCATGGGAATGACTTCAATCGTTGCTGCTTCGTCGTGGGTTGCCGTCGTCGCAGCCCCGCTGCCGGTAACGACGTGTTCGCCGTGATAGCCACCAACACCGACGACCGAGTGGGGTTTTGCTTCTCCAAGAGGTGTGAGTGATCAGAGATCGATGGTGAGCCCATCCGCCACCATAGGGCCGCTATCCGTTGCTGATGCTGATCTTTGTGCCAGTCGATCTGCAACGCCCCTCTCCGCCTCCTTCCACTGCTTTCCCATGTTGATGTGCTACTATTGTTGTTGTTGGAGGTTACTGCTGCTGTCGGACCGCCATGAGCCACCAGCTGGGTGGTTGGGTCCATAGTGCAAATGATAATCATGTGTGTGGGGCTGTATTTCCATATTTAGTTTGTGATATGTGTGTTTTGTCTAGCCGAAATTCCCAAGAACAGCCGCCGGCCACCGCTAGGGTGGTTATGTGCATGTGTTATAATTAGTTAGTGTGTGTGTGTGTGATCATTTTGAGTTAAGCACTATAATTGTAATTAGCAAGATGAATAATAAAAAGAAAGTCAAAACCACCACCGTAAGGTGGTGGCCGCTGCTGTGTGCCGCCATTGACCACCACTACCCGAGGTGGTAGTGGGTGGCACCCCTCTAGCAAACCCTAATTGGCTTAAAGATTTTTTTTGGGCCTATTGGGCCATGGTTGAGTGAAAACCCTAATTAGGGTTTGGAAAACCCTAATTATGTATATTTGGGCCTTAGACTTATTGGACCCACTTTTAGGCCATTGAGATTGGATTGAATATTAAGCCCAATTATTCCATGTCATTTATCTAGCAGAGTAAAGGAATTAATGGATTAAGTTCTTTATAGGCTAAGTGAGAAAACCCTAATTTGAGAATTTATCAGGACACACATGAGAATTATTTAATAAGTGAAATATTAAATAATAATCATTGAAAGAAATTAATCTAAGCAATAACGGACTTAATGGATTAATTCCTTAGTGGGTTAAGCCCTTAATGGGTTAAGTGAGAAACACTTAACCCTAATTTTCATTTTATGAGAAATACTAGTTTCACTTGGGTATATCATTGGGCCATAGTTTGGGCCTTGAGGGTTGTATGATATTGGGCCCTTAGAATGGGACATGTTGGACTGGACGGGACAATTGGGCCTTAAGGGAAGCCCATGTAGAGGTTTGGGCCCAATTTGGAAAATTGGTCCATATGTTGGGCTTTGATCCCTAGTTGACTTTGGGCCTATGTATTGGACCTTGGGCTTAGGTAATCCAAGCTTGGGGTAATGTAGTAATTATCCAAAGTATGTAATTATAGTTATGTAGTGGAACCCAATTATTAATTGGGTGTTATTTTGATGTTGACAGATCGGGAATCTGTCATCTCGCAGTTGGGGTCGAGTCTGCAAGACTTCAGCAGTGTGGGATTGAGTCTGCGGGACTTCAGCAGTGTGAGGTGAGTTTCCTTCCAGTAGGAACGGGTCTACGGCCACAATGCCGGCTCATTTAGTTAGCAGTAGTTCCGGACTACAGTCTGATGTAGTAGTTCAGTATGCTTGGTGGCTTTGTGATACAGACATGGTATGAGTTATGTGTTCCAGACATTGGATCTATGTTTTCACTATTAGATACACAACATTATGAACACATAATAAAACCCTAAAGATGATTGCTATTTTCGAAATTAACCACGAAGGTTTGATTACATACCTCTTGCTATTACATTGTAATAACAACTTGAATCCTCAAACCATAAGTCTTGAAAGCAAGCACCACAAGTGTAGTGCCTCTAATGGATCACAAACGCCAAGAGCAATTGGAGAGGCTATAAAGAAAGAAGGAGAGGTATAAAATTCGTCCCTAAGAAGCTTTGGGAAGGTATGTACGAATTCATTAGCCAAATGGGAGTTTTTATAGGTGTAGAGATAGGGTTTCAGTCCTTATCCTTATCTAGTTGCTTGCCCACCAAGCAAACCATAAGATAAGCCTTGAATCCTTATCATGGACGAATTCTAAGGCGTTATCACCTTAATTTCGTCCAACCTATCCTTAGGATAATCCTTACCCTATTTTGTAACTATCATATAATTACAATTCAACCCCTCTAGTTTAATTAATTACATTTGATAACAAAATTAATTCTTAATTAATTATTGACCAATATTAATTAAACAAATATGATTTCTCCTTTAATATATTATTCTTATAACATAATAACCTCTCTATCCTTATTATTTCTCCAGTCAAGTTGCTTTGGTGAAGGCAACCCAAAAGGACCATGCACAATCGGGTCAAGTACTTACCAATTCACTACTAGAAAAATAGCCTTTTACGACGCGCAAACCACGACGCTCATTGATTTATGTTACGCAAAAGAGAGTGACATTAAAAAAGTGTCATGTCTTCAAAAAATTGAAGGATTTACATCACGCATTACTACGTGCCATTAAATTAGTGTCTCATGTAAAAAAAACTTAAAAACACGGAGGGCACTTTATTTAAAACGCGCGTCCTCTGTGAATGTCGCTTTATGTTTTTTAATTAAAATGCGTATTATTGAGGAGATCCTCTAAAAATTCTAAAATTTTTAAATACCCCGCTTCAGATCTCCCTTTGTTCTCTTCTTCTCTTCTCTCAGCAAACCCTAATCACAATACCATCTCTGTTATAAACCTCGACAACTCATATAATTGTTCTATAATTTTTTTCTTAAAAACTCGCGTTCATTCCTGAAGATCACAAAATCGAGACCAGCAACTAGGGATTTTGTATGTGCTCCCAAAGACGAACGTCGCAGAGCTAGCAATTAGGGTTCTGCGAATCCTCATGCTTACAACCGGAGATATAGTGTTGCTCATCCTCTCCTCTTCCCTTCTACCCTACTTTCCGACAATATAATTGTTAAGAATCATTTTGGGTTTGTTAATTGGTAAGAAACATTTTGTCCAAAAAAATTAAAACCCCTTTTCGATCGATCCTCTCTCAGTATCCCTTGTTCCCTCTACTGATACCCCTAACCAAACCCTTAGCATCGCAAAACAACCCTAAAGCCTCCCACACAATAACTAGGGTTTTTTCACATCAACATTCTCCAGACGATCGAGCTAGAGTACGACTGCAACACTTCATCTCACCAGCCTACAGCCTCATCAGGCTCGCCTCACTTCACCGGCGATTGCGACTCATCAGCGTCACCGTCTCGGAGACTGCGTCCCGACCCTATTTTGGTCGAATCCCTTGCCTCTGATACCTTATTTGCCTCTGATACCTTATTTAGTTGAGGGCGGCGATAGTGAACGAAGTCGAGGGCGGTGATGTTCGTTGGAGACTCACTTGGAAGAAAGCAACAGGAGTCGCTGATTTGTATGACGTCGTCGGCCGTGCCACAGTCCACCACCAAGATAAGTATCAACGATCCTATCTCCACACTTAAGTTTTTGGTAAAGCATTTACATATTTTCACTCCTCTTTAGTAGTTCCTGAAAATTGTTTACATCATTGAGACATATTGCTTTTTTAGATCCTCATATCTTATGTGGGTTTTGTAGTTGGATGTTATTGGAATCCATGAACAACAGTTCTTTGATGATTTGTATGATTTTTGTTGTAAAGGTGCTAATAATGATGGAAAATGGTCATACTTACAAGTGTTGATGGTCATTACTTAAGGTATATAACTAATTTCCATAGCTAAATCATTTATCATGTATTTTGTTACCTGAATCGCCAAATCTTATGTCATTAACTCATTTTTTATAAAATTGGTTTAAACACTATTAACAATTCACTAATTCTGTCTAACCGTATTGTCACTAGGAATACAGGTGTTCGTCATTACTGTTGAATCTGGAATGAAAGAAATGGGTGTAAATTGTGGTGTTTTGATGATGACGAGTGAGGTGGGCTGGTTAGTATTAATACCCCTTTTTGCCTTATTAGTAGAGTATTTTTTCTGGTCAATTTATGGTCAATGCTGGAACTGATGCATGAGTTGCTACAGAAATGGTGATTACACATACTACAATCGAATTCAATTTCCACAATTAGGGAACATTCTTTGGAGAGAGAGAGAGCGAGAGAGAGAGAGAGAGAGAGAGAGAGAGAGCTTCTCTGAACAAAATAGAAGGTAATTATCATTTGATTTTTCTTCTTCTTTTTGCTTCTCAACAGCTTAAGACACACACTAACAAGAGAAACAAAACTATTTTTTTCCCTTACTTACATCTTCCTTATTGATCTAGATTATGTTATCTACTTGTTGGTGGGATTTCTATCAGTTTCAATTTTAATTTAAGGTGAACTGATCAAGTGCACATGAGATGTTTGATGAAATGCTCGAGTAAGTGTAGGAAATAATTTCTTTCATCTTTTGGCTGTGTAAAGATGGAGGTGGTAAGATGGGTAAGGATGGGACAAGTAATGTTTCATATACCTTGAATTGTAGACTTTTGTTTGGTGAATCACCATCAAATGGTTTTAACTACCAAATATTTGTCCATGCTGAAGGAGCATTGAAAGTATAATTGTTGTATTTCAGATGCAACCATTCCTATTTATCAATTTATTCTTTTTCTAAGTGCTCCTTATCATACAGGTCCTCTGCATCATTGATTCCAGTTATCATATATTTGATGATATAAAAATCTCACGTTCTCCACGGTTAATCGATAAAAGATAATATGACCAAAAGCAAGAAATTTGTGTTCTTTACAAAGAAAGATTATTAGTTTCCATACCCTTCATTGGAATTTCTGTTATGAGCTCTCAACTACCACTACTTTATAAACATGTAAATGAATACCCTTAATTTTTTATGAACTACTAACAATTTCCTTTGTTTTAGAATCACAGACTTTCATCTTGATGTAGATGGGATATCTGATCGCACTACTAATGTGAGACACTTATCATTCAATCCTTTCTGTGTTTTCTTTTGAAGTAAAACTGAAAATATGGAACCTTTAATTCAGCTGCCACACATGTTGCCATCTGAAGAAGCATTTGTTGCTGCTGTTTCTGCTCTTGGTATTGAAAACAAAGATGGAGTTGTTGTTTATGATGGTAAGGGGATCTTCAGTGCTGCTCGTGTCTGGTGGTAAGTTTCATTTCCTTAAAATTATGAGGGCATTTTTGTCTTTTACCTTCAACTTCTGAGGTAAATTTTCTAACTAATACAAAAATGTGTACATCTCTTTCATGATATTCCTTTTGGCAGAAACCTGAGAGAAGGTTGTTAATATCTGTCCATGCTGAAGGAGCATTGAAAGTATAATCGTTGATTCATATTTATCACTTTATTCCTTTTCTAAGTGCTACATTTGTTTTTTTTTCCACATCAGACAGGTTCTCAGCATCTTTGATTCAAGTTATCATATCTTCAATGATATAAAAATCTCGTGTTCTCTTAGGTTAACTTAATCCTGAAATAGTAGAACTTAAAGAAAGGCTTGTAGCCAGTAGGGCTACCCGAGTAGAGGTTTGCTAATAGTTTTACTTGGAGTTATTTAAAAAATAATATATATGTGTGTGTGTATATATATATATGTGTGTGTGTGTGTGTGTGTGTGCTGATTATTTTTATGGATTGGTAGATTGAAACAAGAAGAGCAGAGCTTGAGACGAATCTATCAACAAATCTTTTTAGATGGAGATGGAGACAAGAACTGGAGGCAGTTCAACAGTCAACATTCTTGTACATTAGTTACAATTTCAAGTTCAATCTGGCTGGCTGGTTGGGAGTTGAGGAGATTGGTTTGTACAATTTCAAACCAAGTGTATGACCTGTGCCTCTTGAAGTTCGTATACAGGAAAGTCAACTTTCTTTTCCAAATGTATAAAAGTCTCAAATACAGAAGAAAATTTCAATTATTAATAATTAATCATTTCAATTTACAAGGGTACCCAAGGAAATTCTTCTGTCTAAGAATGAATAGCATGAATAAGGCAACCTCTGCTGCCATATTTACACACTCACCAACAAAACAGTTTTAATTTTTGTTTCATCTCGTCGGCAGACAAGGCTCACTGCATTCGAACTCATTCACATATTTTAAGTAATTTTTTAGAAATGACAGCTCGTGTAGATACTATTTTATTCATTAAATTTATATTTTATTTTCTTTTGCAAGGCAGTTTCTTTCCATCCCCGAGGAGGCTTTACAGATGATTGTTTTTTAGGACACTGATCAGAATCTTAGTCACACTCTACAATTCGGTTTTGGATTACATCATGCAGGATTAAACAACAAAGATAGATCTTTTGTTGAGGAAATTTTTGCAAACAACAAGATTCAGGTAGGGCTTTTACTACTTTTTGAAAAATATCGTCAGTACCCTTGATTGACCTGCGCTGTAAATAAATTATATGAACGTGAATAAATGACCATTTTACCCTTCTGTTAATGGAAGTTGAGAGCCATACCTCTATATTTATCCCTACTTCTCGTGATCTCTTGAACAACATATTTACTCTTACTATATCATCAGCTAATTGCTTATGAAATATCATTTTATTTCTATTTTTATATTAGATCATATTATTTTGCTTATTCAATATGTGGAGGTCTAGTTTAACGAGTATCAGTTTATCAAAGAGGTTAATTATTGGATCAATAATATAAGTATACCATTTTATTATTTATTATGCACAAAAAAACATAAATATATAGAAAGAACTTTTTTACTAAGTTTACAAATAATAATGTTTGAAATAAAGTTTCATAAAACAATAAGTAATGATAACTTATGAATAGTTTGAAAATTAATTCAAAATAACCTTGTGATTATTTAGGAAAAGAATACAGGGGAGGTGGCATATAGATTTTTTCTATATTATTCTACATATTTTTATTTTATTTATTTAAGGTGATGGCAATCAATGAGTCATCGAGGCTGTGTGCTTCAATTACAATGGAAAATGTTCATCACATTCTTCCCCCTTCTACTTCTGACCACTTTTGTGCTATGAAAAGGAAGGTATGATATTTTTCTCATGTTATCATGCTGTCTTTTCAAATGTTGTTGAGAAATGCTTAACTTATGGAAGCCCAGATGAACGCCAACTTCTTGTAAACGAAATGCTTGGTTCCACTGATGAAAATGAGCCATTACATGTCAGCAACTCTCTCTCTCTCTCTCTTTTTTGTAAAAATAAAAAAACACATTCATTGTCTTTTTGGTAACTGAGTTTGTTGTAATGCAAAACAAAACTATAGGCAATGATGAATGATCCTTTTGGAAATTACGTTGTCCAGAAGGTTCTAGAAACTTGTGATGACCAGACACGCGAACTTATCCTCTATATTCTTGATATTTTCCCACTTTTTAAGTCTTTTATCAAATTCTCACTTTTGGATACAGAGCTTGATGAGAGAATACGTGACCTAAATCTTTTATCAAATTCTCACTTTTGGAGGTGGCCATAAGAAAAGGTAAGCAAAGGGTAATTTGGTATTTGTTGCTGTTATTGTGTATTACAATACTTCCATGTATATATGTATAAAGTTTGTTCTTATTCAAATTTGCCTTTTACCATTGATTTCCTTATTGAGGCATTGTACTTTGAAAATATTAATTCTTACCTTTTGTCCATGTAGGATCCACCAGGAACAGGAAAAACACAAACAATTCTTGGGTTTCTTAGTGCCATATTACATATCAACTTAGTCCCTTAACTTTGTAAGACATTGATTACTTGAGGGTATTTTTAGTAACACTGTAAGAGATTGATTACTTGAGGGTACTTATGGTATATAATGTTATATTCTTTTGTTAACATGGTCCTTAGTGCAATGAATTATCTTTATTGTTTATGGTATTTTATTTTGTATTATGAGACTTTTAATGTGTTATTTAATTTGAAAATTAGTAAATCTATCAAAAAAGTATTTTATTTCTATTATGAGAAATTAAATGCAAATCTAATTTAAAAATCAATAAATATATAATTTCTTTTAAACATTTAAATTTACGATACGCAAAAATGTGTGTCATCTTCATTTATGACATGACCTTTCTTGACAGGGGCTTTCTTGATACGCATTGCGTGTCATTAACACGAGCGTCATAAGGTTACGACACGCGAATGCGAGTCGTCTTCCTTTATGACAGGGCCTTCCTTGATACGCATTGTGTGTCGTAAACGTGCGTCGTAATTGTGCGTCGTAAATGAGCGTAGTAAATGCGCGTCGTCTATAGATGACGCGCAAAAGCGCGTCGTTTCTCTTTATGACAGGGCCTTTCTTGACGCGCATTTGCGCGTCGTCTGAGCCTTTTACGACGCGTAATGAGCGTCGTAAAAGGTTGTTTTTCTAGTAGTGATTATTGTTACAGGCTTAGACACTAATCCAACAGTCTCCCACTTGGATAAGTCTAGTAACTATAAATGTAAGTACACCTCGATTTGCAATCGTAGCTCTCAAAGACGATGTCAAACTCTGATCTTATCAGTAACCTGTCCTTCAGATAAGGGATCATATATTCCTCTATTCTAGATATCGTATAGACACGAGACATAGATTAAAATCATTCTCTCAGTCTATGTGTTGTTTCTCGATTTCCAATTTACGACGACCGACTAATTGAACAAATCAAATTACCCTAGCCCGGCCGAGCATTTACGTTTGTCATCACTAAATCATCGAGGGGCCCACAGATATCGCTTTTATCCCACTCTGGGTAAAAGGAACGGATAAACTTCGACTCAATGTTTGCTTGCACTCACTCACCAAATCACACACAACAATAAGTTTTATAACACCGAGTTACTGGTGCGTTTACATATTATCAATGTGCAACCGATTCTCAAGATACAACTCACACATCTCGGTTTCAAGAATACAAGATATTATCGTCTCACCAATCGCTCGTGATAAAACCCATGAAGCGATCCAAGTGAACGTGGGTTTAATCCAATGCTCAAAATCATATTCATAAGCACTCATGAACGTTGTAGCAAACCTTTGCTATGTCTAATAGGCTTTAGACAATCTACAACCAATTCATGACAGTCTTCATTCATACCTACTTCCAATGTATGATTAACTATGGTCCGTTTGAATAATCCGATTATTCTTAATAAACTCAATTATTCTGGAAGTCAAAACATGCAAAGTGAAACACAAAGGTAATACTAATCCTATATGGTCCCAAACCCTTGAGTATAAATAAAACACCTTTATTTAATCACCATATTGATTACTCATTATCCCTTGTTTAACGTTTCAGATAATCAACTTTATAACTCGAATTATAACCACAATTGTCCCATGCTCCAAGCATGCACACTTTGGTTTTCTATGGTTTATCACTTCGTGAAATAGATCAAGTGAACACATTTTCAATCATTCTCATTTCACAAATCCCAATTCTTATCATAAGTATAAGAATATCAAATTCTTGTCACTTATATAATATGCTAGATTCTAGCATTTTATGCAATGATCCTTTCGTAAAGTCATAGCTCAAAATCATCAAGACTTAGCCAATCTCTATAAGAAACAATTCTATAGATATGATGTCTCAAAGTACATTCCTTTGAACATCCTTTATTGCATAAAAGTTTCTAATCTAGATATAGATTCTCAATATCCAACTCCCAATATGGAAACATTTCCAGATTTGTCATATGCCAAGTCATTCTTAATAGAATCTTATCTATTCATAATAATGTCGATATGGTCCATTCAATGCAATACTTCCAACTACTCATAAGCGACCAATCCTCAGCGAGCTTTGGATCGTCCTTTGATAGTTGTTTAATTATCTTTAGTAAAAACCAATTCTTGTCCTTTTTCTCTCTTAATGCGCTAGACATTTGGAAAATTTTAGAATGGTAAAATATTATAGCATTTGCAATCGATCCTATACCTGAACCGTATGGGACACGATGCATAATGTCTTACATGAAGATACGATACTCTATCAATCTTCTGCCATAACATTTTATGTGTCACGTTCTTACAATTTGAACTATAAAGAGGGATACCGTAATCAGAATCAAAATTTAAGAACACACTATGTATCCTTTGACTAAATTTATTAAAATTTCTCAATCTAAGCTTTAGATTATGAATAGAAGTACAATATTCTCTCCCTTAATTATAGAAAAACAACTTTTCAACTCTTACGACATTGCAAAGTACAACACTTGTTTTCTATAATATATTGCTAACTTGCAATACTTACCATAATAATCATGCTCCCACTTACATGATTATTATTTCTTTACCAGCATAACACTTATGCTCCCATTAGCTTTGACATGTACTTAGAAATCAGCTGAACTTCTAGAAAACAATTTCTTAAGTTCATATTTCTAGATGCTTCGATAAGACTCTATCTAAGCTTCTTAAACTCATACACCTTTCCTTGGACAACTCATATGTATATGTCTAAACGATTCTAGGACTAATATCAATAAGTCTAAGATGTTCAGACCTATTTGCCATTTCCCACAATTCGAACTATGAAGAGGTATGTCGTAATCAAAGTTGAATTTGAGAAACCCAAATCATATAATGCTATCTTCAAAATCTATCTTGGTGAAAGTGTTTCCTTACAATCATTCTTATAAATGAAATAAACCTTATGACACTTAGATTTTGTGGTGTAATCGTTCTCATCCATGTGAATTTGTCATAACCATAATCACAAGATAATGTTAGTGACAAATCCAAACTCTTATGGATAGAACTTGCTCTTCTTAATTTCTTGCCATGAAGGGTCCCACCATTACTTCCAAGTTATTTAGCAGCTCACCCCTTCATTTCAATCTACTTTCCATTGAACAAGGTGCCTTGCCCATATACAATCCATTGAGAACTCGTAGAACTCACTTGCATAATTAACTCAATTCGGAATGGCATAGAAACAAAATAGTGTCAACATGATAGGTCGTAAACCTCAAGTCGTGTGCTAGTGTTGTATTATAAGGTCTATTCTTGATTTGTTCTTGAAACCTTTCAAGACCATTAAGACTCCCACTGACTCCTTGACATATAAGATTCCCTTGTTAAGAAACATTTATTGACAAACAAATATTCAAGAGTTAGTACAGCCTTTATCAAGACAAAACTCTTCACATAATTGGTCCTAGTTGGTCTTTGTCTTATCCAAAACATCACAACTTACCAATTTCAAATGTGCAAGAACAAGAAAAACCCTTTTTCCAAACTTCACATTTGACGAATGTTATAAACCTTCTTAAGACTTATCACCTAATTCACAATCTTGGAGTATAACTCTAAGACTTGACATTGGAACGAAGCATGATTGACTTCTTGATTTAACCATTTTCACAATTCTCGTCTCCTATTCTTAGACATACAAATTGTACTAAGAATCACTTAGAGGATCAATTGAGATATGGTTCTTAATCATTAAGTCCTATCACAATAAAATGTACTCTCCCTTCTTCTTAGAACGGAGAAACTTTTATCTTTCTGCATACTTGATTCTTCTTATTCGTTCTGCTATTGATTGAAACTCTTTTAATCAATTCAAAATTATACTCAATCTTATTATAACCATATTTACTAAACTTTAGTAGATCATGACAAATATCTTGTCACTCTTGTGGTGGACTTGATCAACGCACAACTTTGTGTACTTGATCTCATAGTCCTTCACTTGACACTTTGTCAAAGACTAGTCTAAATTTCCCAAATTTGATAGTTTTTCATTCATCATGCAATACTTGTTGCACGATTCCAAGTTCCTATCCACTTGAAACTTGGGCGATGAGAAACTCTCCCTATTTGGTAAACTTTTGACGCTTCCACAAGTAATCTAATTAAGAATCAAATCCATATTGCTAATAGTAGAAGTACACAAACATAAATTTTCATATATGCCATTGCAAGGATAATCAAATAAGATAAAATCCAAATTTTATTTTATTTATCAAAGCAGTGGAAAACATGTCCTTACAACGCAAAATTCAAATGAAAAACTATGTATTTAAATACTCCTAACAAATCTATCATAACTTCCTAAGCTCAAAATCTTATCACATTATGTACAAAGAATAGGAATTTAATGGAGTTAGATAGTGGATTTTGTACCTGAAGCAGAGCCACACTTCTTGACTCTTCCATCTCTTAGACTCTTTGGTTCCTTTGGACAGCTTCGTATCCATTTCCCTTTCCCTTGGCAGCAGAAACATGTGGCCTCTCCTAGAGCGTCCACGGAAGCATGGTTGGTTGAATTTCCCAACAAATATGCTCCATTGCTTTGCCAAATCATTTCTGATTCAGCAGCAATGAGCATGTAAGTTAGGTCAATGAGGTTTTCGTCATGATCCATCATATAATACTTTCTTTTGAACTCATTATATGATTCAGGAAGTGACTGCAGAACCCAGTTCACAGCCAACTTATCCGGGAATGACGCACCCAACATTATCAACCTATCGATGTGTGATTTC